TATATAAAGGAAATATTATTGTTATTACACCGTCACAAGTACAGAGCAACAAAATGAACTCTGCATTTAACCGATCCTCTTGGAGAAGGGTCTTGCTCAGGGACCAGAAGTGGCAGTCCGTGGGAGTGAGGCACGCACCCAGAACCTTTGGATTCCAAGCTCTATGCCCTAACTGCTAGGCCGCCACTCCCTTCTCTAATTACTCTCATATAATCCCTTTTTACATGAATAATTTTTTATGGCTTGAATGTTGGTCATTCTTCTCACAGACTTTCAAGTGTGTTTCAAATTTGTATAGTACAATAATACCACCTTTACACCATTCCCTGTCTAACACAACTTAGAATCCCTCGTTAGTGCGACTGATTTTTTAAGCTATAAAATTTTCCATAATCAAACAATTAGATAATATGCAATTTTATATATATAAAAAAGAATTCTGAGCTTACTTATTTGACCTTTTTATATATGTTGTCATCAAAAACATGGTTTTACCCATACAAAAAGGTTTAGACCTATACATACATTCCTTGTTCTTTAGCAAACAAAGGTTTGTATAGCCATCAACATGCTTTGAAAAACCAGGTGTGACATTTGTTTAGTGTTCATTGCTTTATCAACTGCCTCAAATCAATAAGGACACTTAAGCCGTGGTGGAAGTACATCAGTGTTCGCCATAATAAGAGCTATCTGAATAGTACTGGCAGTTAGGAAGGAGGTAGGACGAGGGAGCAGGATGCATAGTGCCAATTTAGTTTGCATAAAGACTTGCTAACATTCCAAGCCACTGCTAGGAGCTATAAGGTTTCCCATAATCCTTTGCGTGACATGACAAACAGATAGCCCAACTCATTAAGTTTTACTAAAATAAATAATTTCCTCATGCGAACTCTGTGTGAAATACGTTAATGTTCATATCTTCATATGTTTTAGGGTTTTATGATGGAGATATTTAGCTGTTGCATCTGTGTAACTTTTGTTCTTTGCAGTTCTTCTTTGCAAGGCTGTAGTCCTAATATGAACAGTGTGTGATCGTCTCATAATCACGTCGAGGGCCGAGCTAGTTTTTTACTTTGGATAGGATTCTTACTGTTGACCCTGCTAAAGGTGAAGGGATAGGAGCCAGGGAGCAACACTCAGATCAAACCATAAGCCAATAAGGGAACCATAGGGTTTCCTAGTTTTGATGTGTGTTTTGGGCTCATTGGTTCGATCTTATTACCTCAGAGTGCAGCTCCCACCTCCTGTACTGGTACATATTCTTGTTAACAATGGACAAGCAATTGTATTCAACTTCTTTCTGTCTCATGGTTTCCATCCACCTGGGCAGTTCCTGGATTGCAATGTTCTTTCATATAACTTTGAAAAATTGGATCCTTTTCCTGACACATTTGAGCTTTTTGAACATACACACTTACAATAAATACTGATGGAAGGAGTGGAGTTGAGGCTTTGAATCTAATCAGTTTTTACCATCAAGCATGGTGTAGGCAGCATCAAGCTGTGGGGCTGTTTCTCATCGCTGTTAGTACTAGTGCGTCACTCCTGCACTCCTGACTCTGGGGAGGAAGTGGCTGTGAGAAGGGTGCTGTCCAAGCTTACATCCATCATGGACAACACATCTCACCCCCTGCACCAGACTGCTCCTTTAGAGAAAGACAGATACTCCATGTTTGTAAAAGGAGCGCTACAGCAGATCATTCATCTCTGCTGCCATCAGACTTTACAATGTGGCACTATAACTGCAATAATGTGTGCAATAACTGTGCAATCACTATTTAACACCCTGTGCAGTAACCTATTTAAATTTAATACCCCATGCTATAACTATATATATATATATA